TGTTAGTATCAAGGTTGGTGTTATTTGTTGCATTTTTGTGGTACTTAACCCTATCTGAACATTGTTTTACAATGAACTCCTTATCAATACCTTAGTGCAAGAACCACCGAACCATTGACATTTGTATATAACTGGTATGGTACTTATTTATAGCAAACTCTTGATTAATTTAAACAAAAATTTGGAAGAATACCTCACTAAAAGGTTAAGTTAGTATTTAAATACTGATCGAGTTAGAAAGACGTACTAACTATTCATTCACACAAAATATGTAAGAACTTTACGCTCCCGAAAGTATGAATGCATCCAAAGTATGAATCCATCGGAAGTTAGAAGACATGCAAAATAGTTACATCAAAAACTCGTGTAAAGGGGTCTAGCAATACTAGGATTGATGATATTCTGACTTACGTCAATTGTTTTAAAGTTTAATCCGATGACACGTGAGTGTACTTGTAGATTTAAATGTTTCCTTGGTATACAAAGTTGCTTTACTCACCAGTTTCATGTCGGAGTGCGAGGAGAGCCAATGGCGGCGGAGCGGAGGTGCGGAGTGGTGCGCGCACGGCGCTCGGGGGAGGCCTTTATAGCGCGGCGGCGGCGGCGGCGGCGGAGGGGCGGACGCGGGGGCGCTGATTACTGTGATGAGCTGCGAGGCGAAGCGAAGCGACCTTCTGCTTGCTCCTTGCCTCACGCGCCCCTTGCAGACGTGCTGCGGGCCTGCCCCCCCCCCTGGTCTCTATTGCAGGCTCCGGGAACGAGAAGCCCAGCCACCGGCTGTTCTCACCACCTCCAGCTCCCCAGAAAAGCACTAATCTCATCTCTGCGGGATCTTATTAAGACGTAGACAGCGCTACAATCGGCAAGCTTAATCAAAAAGCCACCACCATTACACGTACACTTAGTGAACACAATACTTCGTCGTGAGAAGAAACTCTTCACATCGATTGCTAACCGTCGAAAATGGGTCAGTTTTTAGCTTTTTACATAACCTTTTAATGCATTTTCGCTGATTTCGTCGATTTTAATATAATTTTACTGGTACTTGCATCAAACAATATTTACGAGGTGCAACAAATGTTCAGCACAGAATTCCTGAGTAGCCTTTTCGATTTCTTCGCTCACGTGTTGTAATGTCAGCGTTTGTGAGTGCTATGTAATGTAAGGTTCCCTGTAACGCCTGTAGACGCGGTTGTCTGTTCGGCAGATTTCGAGATAAATAAAGGCAGAGATTTTCTTTTAAAGAATAGTCCAAACCAAACATTTGCAAGCTGAGTTAACTTGAACAAAAGGAAGAAGTCTCGATTTCATCAGTAACGTACTCAACAGCTTGAGTTGTTCATCAGAAGTGGTTTTGATAAAATGTACAATACAATTAATTTTTATAGGGCATTTTGAAACCATTTTATCAGCTAAGTAGGTAAATAAAAGATGTCTGGTATCAAAAAATATATTACGCTGAAGATCATTTGATCGCCTAGTGATAATTCTCCGAACTACAAATTAAATTACATAAATAAAATTTCATTCATACATGAATTATACAAATGAAGTATAAATTATTACAAAATGTTGTATACAATATGTTGACATTGTATGCCAGATGCATAAGCAAACTGGGCCGTGACTTGCAGCTTTCGGACCGAAAACACAGTTCTGCGGTTTTATTAGGAGGTGTGTCTTGTTTAAGAACAGAGCGTCGGTCTCGTCACCTCTACTAAAATTAGCATAAAGCGTACACCCCTAAACCCTCCCCCTAATTACACTCGCCTTCGCTCGCTCGACCCCTCCTCGCGCCTCCACCACCACCCCCGCGTCTGCACCCCCCTCTCTTCACGGCCCCACACGGTGCCGACCTTATTACTTAATCTATCTGTTGACATCTGTATCATAGAATGAGAAATATAATACACTGATCCTTCGTCGTTTTGCAAGGTAAATTATTTATCATAACGCTTTTAACAAATTTAAAATATATTAAAATAAATGTATATATATTCTCCAAAATTCGTCTTTGGATTCACTCTTGCCTGTATCGAAGTGAATAATGGATAATGAAAATAAGAGATCAAATCAAAATTCAAGCAGCTGAAATAAGATTTCTCAGGAAAGTTAAAGGTATATAAAGCAAGACGATATGAAAAACGAAGATATCCGGAAGAAACTGGGTACATGTAATATAAATGAAAAGATTGAAGAATCCAGAAAATTATGGAAACATCATGTTAAAAGAATGGATGAAGAAAGAATTCCACGACTAGTGATGAAGTGTGATCCGAAAGGAAAGAGATGTCGGAAGAGCCAGGAAGAGATGGTCTTGATGTGCAAGAGAAGACGGAACAGGCGCTAATGCCTAACTTGAATGGAAGAAGAAGACCATACCTTATTTATAATCGAATAGTTTTTAGGTTAGTGAAGTAAAAATGTCAAACATTTTAAGAACTCCATTCCAACATCAAAACCTCAAATCTTCATATCAACATAGGGCAGAAATACCTCTAATTGGGAGGTACAGGAGGTACATTTATAGTTATTTTAAATCCTTGTCTACCACCTTTCTCTCACAAACCACTGAAGTAATACATTGCAACAGTGAAATTGTCTCAGTCAGCCTGTCAGGAATCACAGTCTCTCACAAGAATTGCCAGAAGTGGTCAGCTTCGGCTTAGTTGGAGTCCGGAGTTCTTGAATAGCCATTACATAGTTTGGCTCACTTTATGGGGAACTTCTGCAATGTTCCGTAGTTGTTAAAATCCATTTTGGAAACAGTATGTCAAGATGATTACGTTAGATACGGGTTACCTAAATCAAAGACCTCAAATCACTCCAAAGAAGATATCTATTGGATTGAAATCGGACGATTTGTAGATTTAAATATTTCCAGCGAACAATTATTATTTTTGAAAAATTGTTTATTAGGAGGCTGATTCTGTTGACCTAAAACGCCACCAAATATGAACAAAAATATGCTCTTAAAATGTTTTTAATTTACCTTCATCTTCTACATTCACGGGTTAGGCTTACGCCTTTACCGTCTCCACTGTATCTTTCCATACTTTTTGGATTGTCCTATACCTCTTTTCCCTCTGGGTTTGTAAGCAAATGCTAATCTTACCAGTCTTGTTTCTTCCATTCTTTCTAAGTACTGCAGCCACTTCTTCCTGTTTATTTCCATTATATTATTTATGCTATTGACATTCAATTCTCGCCTGATTTCATTTCTTATCTCGTCTTCTAAGATGCAGCCTTTTGTTCTTTGAAGGAAGCTCATCTAAATTTTGCTTACTCTTTTTTGATTTAGAAACCAGCACTGGTTGCCATGAAGCAATAGCGGGAGAGCTATTGTTCTATGAAATTTGATTCTAGTATCTTTTCGGGTCTTGTTTTTAAGAGTTGTGTGTATGGTTCGTGCTCAGTTTTTGTCAATGGCCTTTTGTCCTTCTAGGTCACATCCTAGGTAATTAAAATTTAGAACTTGTTCTAGGCATACATTGTCAAGAATTAATTTAGAACGGATAATCTCTTTTCCCGAAAACAGTAATATTTTGTCTTTTGAGATGGGTAGGTTGTAAGAGTTGCATATCTAATTTAAATGGTGCAGGGCATATTGTAGATCATTTTCACTTTCTTGAATTATGACAGCATCATCAGCATAAAGTAGAAGGTTTAAAATATTTTTCGTAGTCAATTTTATTTCTGTGCTAATATTTTGTTTCCATATCAGAAATATGTCGTTTACATACATGTTCAAAAGTGTCGGCAACATTGAACATCCTTGTCGAACACCTTTGTTAATTAAATTTGTTTTCTGTCTATATGCAATCTGCCTTAATAATTATTTTTGAATTATTACTCATGCTTTTAATTATTTATGTGAGATGGCTAGGGTAGCCATAATTTTCCATGATGTCCCAAAGTAATTTTCTTATTTCATTCATATTTTCTTATTCAAGTTTTTGTTATTTTTATATTGCAAATATTACACACAATATTGCTCGTAAAGTACTATTTATTTTAAAAAACTGTACATGACAATGAAAGAACAAACTATGGAGAAAAACATTTACATGAAGGAAAAATCTCTATTTTCAGTTTTGTATAAATACTCGTAGTAGGAATAAGCCAAAAATATCAAAGTAAATTTAAAAATTCAGAATCGTAAATCGTGAAAATGGACCGATGCCATCTTTAGTTCTGCATTTTACTCTATTTTTTCAAAACAAATTCAAGAAAAAAATTGGAGACATTTTGAGAAGTTTTTTAAAATGTCTCTGAGACTTCATTTAAAGTACCTCGAAATTGTGAAGAATATTTTTCGAAATCACAAAGCTTCGAGTCGAGCCTGATCGACCGTGGAATATCCATTTTTGAAAATGTCCTACGTCTAATTCCTGGAATGGCTACATGATCCAATTTAAATCTACAAAATGTATCATCTCCCCTAACAAACGCAAGAAAAGAACATTTCAGCAGGGTTGACAAGGAAAATGTTCAAAAATGCGCTCAGCTGCATGGGCATGTCAACTACCTGCGTGAACCGTGGTCCCATACCAGGTGATTTATGTGTTTTTGTACTTTCTCTTGCACACACGTCTCCTTTCCAGGTAGCGTCGGGAAGTTTAATGCCACCAGGAACAAGTGGCGATATGGGAGAAGTTGTCTACTTATTTATACCTCATAACGCTACTGCTGTAGCGTCCGCTAGTCAGCACGCGACAACGCAGTGCACAGAGGGCGGCGTGGGCGCTTGAAGAATGGACGTGTGTGGAGAGCGCCACAAAGGCTATGGGGGGGGGGGTC